AAAATAGGTTTGATGCTCCTAACTTTCTTGGTAACCAGATATGATCCAAGGAGCGCATGATGACAATATTATTTTTCAAAGCAAACCACATATTCAGACAACAAAGGAATGAAACTAAGTATGGTCGTGCAATTGAAAAAATGTAAACCCACAGAAAAACACACATGAAAGGACAAAGAAAATCTTAAGTTTTTAAGCTCTGACTTTTGTTATGCAATTTCATATCTCAACTTTAGTCATTCACTGACCATCCTACCATCTGCATGAGATTAAAAAATGAACTACTAGCGAACACCTGAATCACCTCAAAAATATACACTTTAACCAATGCTTTAGCCAATCAAGGACAAAGAGAAGAACAGGCTTAAAGGAGGAGGTAGAAATTCTCCTTTGATCAGAATTCAGCCCTAAAGAGACTAAAGAAAACATATTGCTTCTTTTAGGCAAAAGCACTTGAACTTTGGCCTCAAGGCCAAAGTCCTGCACCAAGGAACACCCTGAACATCTGTCTCTATCTTTTCTTTCCCCCATGCAAGTGTTGGTTACTGACACTCCAGCTCTTTCCTGGAGCCCTTCTTGCCATCTCAGACTCCAGAGTAAAGGCCCATGTCCTCCAAATCATTTTAATGAACTCAAGTTACATCCTTCTTTATGATCATTCTGTGGCTAATTCCTCACTACATGTGTTCAACCGGATGGAAAGAAAAGAGCAACACCCACCTCCAGATGCAGCAATTATCCCTACCACCCAGTTGAGGTTCCGCTTTGCAAGGATAACCAGAATTGTGCTGTCCCTCACAGCGCAGACACAGATTAAAATGAATTCAATCCACGTTCTTTTCTACTTGGCTGGCAGACAACCTAAGTAGACCATCATCACAAAGTGGTTCTAGAAAGTCTATTTTAGACGTGGTCGGGGTCTCACCACGAGGAGAACGGGGATGGCAAGAGATGGTGATGGAGTCCACAGGCAGCTGCTGTGGAAGAAGAGGGGACGGAGCAGAGGCAGGAGTGTAGAGAGGCTCGTGTTCTGAATTAAACCTTGTGTCAGATGGCCAAGGGACAGACAGGATTCGACAGCCTCCCTCCACTCTCCTTCCCATCCCACCCTCCCCACTAACCCCACCTTTAATCAAATGTATGAAGCCATCTGAAAAATATTATCAGCTTTGGGGGGTGGGGTTAATGCTAAAATCATCGCCCTTATTATTAGGCATTTGCTTATTGATGCTTTCATTTTAAAGAAGTCAAATTTTAAGGTTACTTGTAGAACCCAAATAGCCGTATTATTAATAGCACATCTGATAGGAACACTAATATCACCAATCCACAACAAGAACTCATTCTACATGTAAAACAAAGGCCCCCACTTACCCTACTTTTTATTACAGGAAATGTCCCATAGCCTAAAGTACTCAAAGCTGGGGTGCCAGCTGTGGGAATTTAATACCTCTTGGGCTTTTATGAATCCAATTTCCCCTCCTTTTATTTTCCTTTGCTTTTTTCTTTTCTTGTCATCTTTCTTGTTCTTCTTCCCTGAAGAGGGATGAAGGGACAAAACTAAGGTGGGGAGAGGGCAAGTGACCTATGAATCAAACCGGCCAGATTTTCACAAGTCAGAGCACGTTCATTTCCTGGAATGGTCCTCAGAATAAAAGAAAGGAGTGGAAACCTCAAATTCATAAGTTTTAGTTCAATGCCATTGCTTAAATGTGGAATTAAAGACAGTCTGAACAAAATAGCATCACTTGTCAATTTAAAAGGGGTAAAAAGCATTTTTTTCTTTCCACATCTATTTTCCAGGCCTCCTTAGATTGCAGGATTTCGCGGGGTGGTGATATCCATCTGAGTCTAGCACAGTGCTCATGTCTCTGGCATTCGATACTCCACCCCTTCAGTGAACATCTGGAGAGCTTGGGCAAATACATTATTGTTTCCCATAAAGTGCACTGAGATCAAGGACTCTCTGGGATGGCAACAGAGTCTGAGTAAAATAAGAATTTAATATATTCATTTGAGAAAATGAATGCTGGATTAAGGAAAAAGAAAAAAACATTTCTACACAGCAGAAATTCTTGCAGAATGTGAGATGCGCTGGGAATTTCTAAGAGAGGGGTATGGTGAGTCGTATTTCCCAAGACTTATCTGACCACTAACTCCTTGGTGTTACATGCCACTAGTCAATGTTCTATGAAACACAAGTTGGAGAGGAAAAAATGGGCCACATCTTTACAATCCAATCATGCATATTTATAAAATATTTTGTCTGAATTATTTTTAAATGGCAGATGGAGGTGTGTGGAGCATCATCAAGAACGTAAGTGACTGGGAGAGGAGGGTGGAGAGAAAGTGTCTGCCCTTTCTTTGGTCAGTTAAGCTCCTAACGAGCTCCTGGGCACCCAGTTACCTTCCAACTCAAACCTGAGCCTCTCTCTCTGCTTTATTCATTCAATCAAGAGTAATAATCATAATAACCACTTAGTCCAGTCCTTTTGTTCTATACGTGAGAAAAGAGAGGCCCCAAAATAGGTATCTACTTTGCCCGAGGTCATTTAGTGAAAAAGTGGCAGAAGATAGAACAGAAAATCCAATATTTCAAATATCCAACGTTCCCTAAAATTGTATTTACTCAATATGTACTCCAGATCTAATATAGGCTAAGATAAAGGAGAAAATCTACATCAGTATTTATTTAACTCAGATTAAAACACCACTCTTGATTACAGTAAAATTTGGCTTTGGGGATAACTCAGCTAGGCCTAGGTAAACATTCTCTCTTGCATTATTTATGGAGAAGGCAGCCGTCTCATGTAAATATGATTCACACTGGAAATGGTGGAATCCCCTCGGCTTCTACTCTGGGAGACCACCCCCCCTCATTTCTGGGTAGGATTCCCTCCTCTGGGGGAATCTCTGGAAAATCTCCCCTACCCTAACTTTGGGTTCCCCTCTTCCCCGCTACCCATTGGGGTGGGGAATCTTTTCCACTCTCACAATTTTACCCACCCCACGTATGCTAATAGCTCCCAAATGCATAACTGTAGTTAGCCACCCTAAATACTTCTGCAGTAAAGCAGCAAAGAGAAGAGAAGAAAAGAAGGGAAAGAAAGGAAGGAGAGAAAAGGTGGACTCCCCAGGGCTGGCCTTGCAGCAGAGAAACTGTTTCTTTCCCATGGCGCATCAAATTAGGCACAGCCTCATTTTTGTCCATAAACTTGATCCTTCACTTTTGCTCCCAGTTTCAGCCGTTAGCACCAGCAGTCCTCTAGATGCCCAAACAAGAAATCTGGGATTCATTCTATATTACTTCATTGCCCTCAGAACTTACATCCAATTAAACTCCAGGGCTGACTGCTTTTACCAATAAGATTCCAATTCTCCCTTTTAGCTTGGATAACTCAAAAAGTCTCCCCCGACCCCAGCTAGTTTGCATGCCTCTGGTCTTATTCCCACCCTCAAGTCCATTCTCTATTCAAGAAACCATTCCCCAGAGATCCTCGTAAAACACAAAACTGACTCCATCTCATCTGTGCTCAAAACCCTTCATCAGCACCGTATCGCTTACAGCCCTAATTCCCTAACATAGGCTCCCATGTACCTCTGTCCAACAGCTAGCCTCACCATCACGGCCCCGTACTCTGTGTGGTCCGGGAACTGCTCATGGCTTCCTGCTGTGCCTGCGTTATTTCTGACCTCAGTGCTTGTTAACGCTGTTCCCGCATCCTCACCTCGATTCTGCAGGATTCAACTCAGGCACCCTCTCCTCCAGGAAGCTTTCCCTGGCTTGGGCTAGTCTAGCTATCCATTCTCAGTACTTCTGTGATACCCTGTAACCTGCAACTGCTCTCTCATAGGGCTTCCTCAGTCTTCTTGATGGTGCGTCTCATCCCTGAGGGCAGAAACAATGTCTTCCTCCACTCCAGATGCCCAGCTCCTAGCACAGTGCCAATTACATAAGAGGTACCCAATAAATGTCTACTGAATGAATAAAACGAGTAACGAGCTATGACAAGCACAAACCCACTCATCCCACCATGTCTCTGAGCTCCTCCCCACTTCCCAGAACCCCTGCCAAGTTCTAGGTAATGGCCATGGGTAATCACATCAATTTGCCATACACAAGAGATTACTCCCATGTAAACTTCACTCATTCGGCTGGCCTTTTCAAGCCAGTTTTAATTAACAAGGTTTTCTCTGTTAAGATGTTTCCCATAGAGTGTTTCCTGGACTGCATTATTCTGATGTGTGCCTCAGTTCTCTGTCACTCTCTGTGGATGGAGCCTTCTACAGTAACTGACAGAGTTTACAGTGTTTTAAAAGTTCCTGTTGAAGATATTTCTAAGCAGAATATTAGAGCCACGTGTTTTCACTCAATCATAATGCCCTTCTTCAGCCAAACTTACTTAGGCTTGGTCCCCGTCCTAGTTTTTTCTTTGTTTGGGAATAATTTGAGAAAAGAAAAAAAAACCCACTGAGCCATTCTGGAGTGCGAGAAGATTTAAAATTATTAAAACATACTTTACAATGAAGGTGCAACTGCTTTTGGCTCAGAATAACCAGCATAATTCAAAAATGCATTCAAACTACATTTCAATTTAGTATCTAGCTTAGTCTTCCTGATGAAATCACTGTCTCATCAGCTTAAAGCAAAATAAAGTAGTTCAAGTTAAAAAGGACTAAAGCTATCACTTCTGACTAAATGCAATCAGCATAGTATTTTAGCAGAACATTGTGATTATTATAATACCTAATAATAATAAACATTTCTGCCATCAGGGTCTTTGGCACTGCAGAGAACAGAAAGGAGCTTGCCCCATGGACTTCTAATGTAAATTAAACAAGCAATATGGGCACACAAGTTTCACAGGTTAGAGTTAATTAACATTTTATCCCAAGCAGAGAAAAGGGAAAGAAAATTAAAATCAATATTAACAGCATCAGAATTCACTTCAAACCTTATAGGAGTCACCTGTAATGTGAATATAACTTAAGAGACTTACAACATCACCAAGTCCAGTCTGATGTCCCTTGCTCCTGCCCCTACTCAGCTAACCCTTAAAAACAGCGGATTTGCATGGTTGATTCTTATACAGCCTTACACAGCCAATGGCAGACCTGCCAAGAGACATAGGACACATTAGCTGAACTCCAGGGACCCACCCCTGTTGTATGGCTCAATTTTCTCTCTTTCTTCTTCCCCCACTCCTTATGAGTAAGTATCCAATAACAGAAAAAACATTGAACCTAGATTTATCTCCTACTGTATTTATCCTTTTTTAAATTGAAGTATAGTTGATTTATAATATATTAGCTTCAGGTGTACAACATAGTGACTGAATATTTTTATAGATCGATTATACTCCATTTAAAGTTATTACAAAATAATGTCTATAGTTCCTTGTGCTATACAGTATATCCTTGCTGCATATCTATTCCATACATGCACCCCAATGTTCACAGCAGCACCATTTACAATAGCCAAGAGATGGAAGCAACCTAAGTGTCCACCAACAGATAAATGGATGAAGAAGATGTGGGATATATGCACATGGAATATTACTCAGCCATAAGAAGAGTGAAATTTTGCCATTTGCAACAATATGGATGGACCTAAAAAATATTATGCTTAGGGAAGTAAGTCAGAAAAGACAAATACTCCACATTATCACTTACATATGGAATCTAAAAAATAAAACAAATGAATGTATATATCAAAATAGAACAAACAGACTCACAGACATAGAAGACAAACTAGTGGTTACCAATGGGGAGAGGGAAGCGGGAAGGGGAAAGACTGGGATATGAGATTAAGAGATACACTGTGGTTATTTTTAAGTATACACCCTCAAATCCTTTTTTTTTTTAAGATTTTCTTGCACCAATTTTTAATTGAGATATAACTGACATATAACATGATATTAGTTTCAGGTATGTGACATGATTTGATATTTATATATGTTGTGAAATGATCACCAAAATGTCTTGTTAGCATCCATCACCATACATAGTTACAAATTTTTTGTCTTGTGATGAGGACTTTTAAGATCTACACTCTTAGCAACTTTCAAAAATGCAGTACCATATTATTAACTGTAGTCACCATGCTGCACATTACATACCCATGAAATTTGGGAAATTTGTACATTTTGATCCCCTTCATCCATTTCTCCTACCCCCCGCAGCCCCCACCTCTAGCAACCATCAATCTTTTCTCTGTATCTATGAGTTTTGCTTGTTGTTATATATGTGTTTAATTCCACATTTAAGTGAGATCATATGGTATTTGTCTTTTCCTGTCTGACTTATATCACTTAGCATAATGCCCACAAGGACCAACCATATTGTTGCATGTTGTGTAGAGTGTAAGTTTCATTTTCTGCATGTGGTTGTCCAGTTTTCCCAACACCATTTATTGAAGGGACGGTCCTTTCCTGATTGTATATTCTTGGCTCCTCTGTCATAAACTAATTGACCATAATTGTGTGGGTTTATTTCTGGCCTCTCTATTCTGTTTCGTGTATCTCAATTTTTAAAAAAAGAATACTTTTTCATACATTTTTATCCTACTTGGCCACATTCTTTCTAAACTAATTTGGGTTTACTGACTGAATGATCTAGCACTGCTTCTGCTTAATGTTTAAGATTATAAAATATGTAGATCTGTAATAACAAAATTGAATCATTATTCTCACAAATATTATTTCAAAAGTAATTGTATTTTATAGTATGTCAGCTTGAAGATGATCTCCAAAATATTCAGGTAACTTAAGACTTTAAACTGATGCTAAATTTATCTAAATAATGTATATTTTTTAGATACTAAGATAATTTTTAAGAAAAATAAATACTGAAACTTCAATTACTAGGCTTAATTTTAGGTTCATTTACTTTTTGCCCCTGTATTCATATGGTAGAGGATATCCTATGTAATATACCTTTTTATATGTGTGTGTATATATATATATATATATATACACTTCTTAATGAAAATATCCATTTTTGCCACTTGTAGATGATGTACTAGAAAGATGCTTTACAGATATAGAGTACAACGGAAAGTTCACGGGAAGGGAATTTTATTTGTCAGTGTCAAAGTTGGCTAACATTAGATACATTTATTTAAAATATTTTCAAAAAGAATTTTAGCATCAAATATTGTAGTAATACAAATCTAAAGTTTTGTTTTCTTTCTGCTAAAACAACACAATTTTCTTGAACTACTGGCCTACTCTCTTCTAATTTACATTTTAAAAATTGACGTGATATTCACATAACAGAAAACGAACCATTTTAAAGTGAAAATTGTAGTGCAATTTAGTTTATTCATAATGTTGTGCAACCATTACCACTATGAATTTCCAGAACATTGTCATTGACACAAAAGAAAACCCTTTGTCACACCCCATTTCCCTCTCCCCCCAACTCTTGGCAACCACTGATCACTTTTCTGTATTATGGATTTGCCTTTTCTGGATATTTTATACAAATGGAATCATTTGATACGTAGCCTTTTGTGCGTGGCTTCTATTAGATTGAAGTTTTCAAGGTTCATCTATGTTGTATATCATGTATCAGTATTTCAATCTATTTATGGTTAAATATTCTTTATAGCTGAATATGGATATACCACACATTCTTACCATTCCTCTTTGGATGAAATTTGTGATGTTTTCACCTTTGGCTATAGTAAATAGTGCTACTATGAAAATTTATGTACAAGTTTTTGTTTGAATACAGGTTTCTAATTCTTTTGGCTAGCTATCTAGGAGTGGAATTGCTGCATCATGGGATAATTCTATGTTTAACTTTAGAGGAATCACCAAACTGTTTCCCACAGTGACTGATCCGTTTTACATTTCCACCAGCATTGTACAAGTGTTCCAATTTTTCTACATCCTCACTGACACATTATTTTCTGCATTTTTTCTATATATAGCTGTCTTAGTGTATGTGAACTGGTATCTCATTGTGGTTTTGATTTGCATTTTCCTAAGGATTAGGATGTTGAGCATTTTTTCATATGCTTTTTAGGCATTTGTATGTCTTCTCTGGAGAAACGTCTGTTCAAGTCCTTTGCCCATTTTTATTTTATTTTTTTAACACCTTTATTGGAGTATAATTGCTTTACAATGGTGTGTCAGTTTCTGCTTTATAACGAAGTGAATCAGTTACACATATACATATGTTCCCATATCTCTTCCCTCTTGCGTCTCCCTCCCTCCCACCCTCCCTATCCCACCACTCTAGGGGGTCAAAAAACATCGAGCTGATCTCCCTGTGCTATGCGGCTGCTTCCCACTAACTATTTTATGTTTGGCAGTGTATATATGTCCATGCCACTCTCTCACTTTGTCACAGCTTACCCTTCCCCCTCCCCATATCCTCAAGTCCATTCTCTAGTAGCTCTGTGTCTTTATTCCCATCTTACCCCTAGGTTCTTCATGACCTTTTGGTTTTTTCGTAGATTCCATATATACGTGTTAGCATACGGTATTTGTCTTTCTCTTTCTGACTTACTTCACTCTGTATGACAGACTCTAGGTCCATCCACCTCACTACAAATAACTCAATTTCATTGCTTTTTATGGCTAATATTCCATTGTAAATATGTGCCACATCATCTTTATTCATTCATCTGTTGATGGACACTTAGGTTGCTTCCATGTCCTGGCTATTGTAAATAGTGCTGCAATGAGAATTTTGGTAGACAAGACTCTTTCTGAATTATGGTCTTCTCAGGGTATATGTGTAGTAGTGGGACTACTGGGTCATATGGTAGTTCTATTTTTAGTTTTTTGTGGGGGTTTTTTGTGGTACCCGGGCCTCTCACTGTTGTGGCCTCTCCCGTTGCGGAGCACAGGCTCCGGACGCGCAGGCTCAGCGGCCATGGCTCACGGGCCCAGCCGCTCCACTGCATGTGGGATCTTCCGGACTGGGGCACGAACCCGTCTCCCCTGCATCGACAGGCGGACTCTCAACCACTGTGCCACCAGGGAAGCCCCTATTTTTAGTTTTTTAAGGAACCTCCATACTGTTCTCCACAGTGGCTGTATCAATTTACATTCCCACCAACAGTACAGAGGGTTCCCTTTTCTCCACACCCTCTCCAGCATTTATTGTTTCTAGATTTTTTGTTGATGGCCATTCTGACTGGTGTGAGATGATATCTCATTGTAGTTTTGATTTGCATTTCTCTAATGATTAATGATGTTGAGCATTCTTTCAAGTGTTTGTTGGCAATCTGTATATCTTCTTTGGAGAAATGTCTATTTAGGTCATCTGCCCATTTTTGGATTGGGTTGTTTGTTTTTTTGATATTGAGCTGCTTGTAAATTTTGGAGATTAATCCTTTGTCAGTTGCTTCATTTGAAAATATTTTCTCCCATTCTGAGGGCTGTCTTTTCATCTTGTTTATGGTTTCCTTTGCTGTGCAAAAGCTTTGCAGTTTCATTAGGTCCCATTTGTTTATTTTTGTTTTTATTTCCATTTCTCTAGGAGGTGGGTCCAAAAGGATCTTGCTGTGATTTATGTCATAGAGCGTTCTGCCTATATTTTCCTCTAAGAGTTTGGTAATGTCTGGCCTTACATTTAGGTCCTTAATCCATTTTGAGTTTATTTTTGTGTATGGTGTTAGGGAGTATTCTAATTTCATACTTTTACATGTACCTGTCCAGTTTTCCCAGCACCACTTACTGAAGAGGCTGTCTTTTCTCCACTGTATATTACTGCCTCCTTTATCAAAGATAAGGTGACCATATGTGCGTGGGTTTATCTCTGGGCTTTCTATCCTGTTCCATTGATCTATATTTCTGTTTTGGTGCCAGTACCATACTGTCCTGATTACTGTAGCTTTGTAGTACAGTCTGAACTCAGGGAGCCTGATTCCTCCAGTGTCATTTTTCCTTTCTCAAGATTGCTTTGGCTGTTCGGGGTCTTTGGTGTTTCCATACGAATTGTGAAATTTTTTGTTCTAGTTCTGTGAAAAATGCTACTGGTGGGCTTCCCTGGTGGCGCAGTGGTTGAGAGTCTGCCTGCCGATGTAGGGGACACGGGTTCATGCCCCAGTCTGGTAAGATCGCACGTGCCGCAGAACAGCTGGGCCCGTAAACCATGGC